ATATTCGTGTTCTACGTGTCAAATTACCCCTCTAGGCAAGTTTCTAGTCGGTTTCATCTTCTTTGAAAAAATTCGGTAGATATCCAGCCCTTTCTCGACAGAGTGGGGCAGTGAAGGGTAAATAGTGCCGAGGTTCCTTTAGATGAAGTTGTCCCCGATGAAAGTGGAAGCTGCCTGGCAGAACAAAATGTAAATTAGCTGGAGGAAAAGGCTCCTATATAATTAACCTGTTCTCCGATAAAGTCTTGAAATGCACACTTTTTGAACTTACCATAGGCGTGAAGCCACTATAGTTACCCTGGAATTACAAGACAAGAGCCATTGAAATCCTCGATTTTACGTTTATATCAGTTATTTCCACACATGTAAAATCGTCCCTAGGGGGGGGATCAGGATCATATGCTTCAGAGTTGGGGAATAATCCCGTGGACCGGAGTCATAAATTGGAAGACCATGGTTTTAAGGCCCGAATTGAGAGTGGAGGGACGGGCAAAGGGGCGGGGGAATCCCCACTTCGGACTTATGACCCAGGTCCCTCCTTCTGGAACGATTATTCCTGTAATATGATGGAAGTAAACGATGATGACGATGTGGAAATTGTTGAATTGAACCGCTCCTACCCATGGAACCTCATGTAGTTGGAGATAAAAAGTAGTTCGCTAAAAAGCATTTCAACCGAATTAGTACGGTAGTTGTGATAACGCTACCGCGTCGATCCAGCTTCACAAAACCATAGTCAAAGAATTTATTTTTGAAGTAATTCTTTTGTGAGTTATTGAGATTACGATTAATCACTTATATCAACACAATAATCACAAAACTAACAAAGATCTCAGCGATAAAAGGAACAATCTAACACAACTATAATCGTATTCGAATGATGAGCATATCGTTTTCGCGTAAATAAAAATAAACAGGAAAAAAGAGGGTGGGAGGGAAGTAGAGGGACATTTCGAGAATCATTGGACCCCTAACCATTCAATTACGTCTGAGACTTTGGGTCCTATCAGTGTTGTTAAAACGGACTTTTGACTAGAAAAGGCAGCGTGGCTTTTGAGACCATCTATAACAGTATCAGCTCTGCACAGCCGGAATCAAGCTAGACCTAACTAAATCGCTAAAATCAACTAAATACTCTCATTTCAAGGACCATATCTTGATCCTGGCTGTGAGGAGGCTTTGCTCAAAGGATGGATGCCGGACACCACCCGTTTGTAACAACGGTTCAATAAAAATGAACGATTCAGCTATCATTACGGTGAGTATTACATACTAGCTGTACAAAACGGCTAACAGCCATCTGACGCTTAGGGTCGAAAAATACAAAGAATGTAACGTCAGGATTAAAACCGAATCCATTCTCGTAATTTACCAGAACGTCGTAACCATGTTCCCTCAATGGCTGCTTTCAGACTTCAACGACGCAACCGACGAGCGCGCGTGCATCCCATCGACGACGGCGCTAGCCACCTGTTGACAACACCTGGCGCGTGATCGATCACCGTCCAGCATTGTTAACACCTAGCCGGCGTCGCCGTCTATCGGACGCGCGCGCACTCGTTGGCTGCGTCGTTGAAGTCTGAAAGCAGCTAATGCGTACATTGATCAATATTGATTAAGTGTACGTGCACACGGTTGCAATATAATCGTACGCTTCAATAACCACCTTAACTGGACGTGATTACGGCGCTATAGACATTTACACAAAGTTGGTCGCGATTCATGAATGTCGCATGGAGGTTAAGCGTATTGTACACTGTGAACGGAGTGGCTAGGCATGTGAGATACCGTAAGACAGTAAGAGAATGTCATCGAGTAGAAAATGCCAAAGAGAGTTGACTGCAGCTTGATTGGCAACTTCGTTCTGATTGCAATAACTCTCTCGGTCACCATGGCGCTGAGCCGGCAATTGAAATCGTGCCAATCGCCTCGGCTTCAACTAGCTGATTTTCGCCCATTTCATAAACCGTACCATTGTTCGACATGGAATATGCTGACACATCGCTTTCATGTTTAGCACTCGATCCTCGGTCAACAGCACTAGGTTACGGTAGATGTTTGGCATTTCTCGCCCTTGTGGAACTTTGACATCGCTGAATAGCGACTCTGGTGCCGGTTCCGATTGCGTGTAATTCACGCATGATCGAAGAATGCGATCATCGTTCACCTGAAAAGTTTCTTGACAGTAGAAATTCAAATGAAAAATGAGCCGGTCATCTTAGCTTGCACCAAATTTCTACAATCTCACATGAACCTCGAAACCAGCCCACCCCCACCAGCCCAAACAAGGGGTCCTTGAAAATCCAGAAAAAAAAAAAGATTTTTAAAGCAAGTTAAGCCAGAAAGACGATCCAGTTCGTCTCCGCAAAACGTCATTAAAAGAGCATAGTAAGAGACATAAGA